ATATTTGGAGTTTCTTTCAGAAGACATTGAGTACAAGAACTGAATAGACCAGGTTAGTACTTATTTTTAAATGGTTATAATATTTTCTGAATGAGATTATAAGATTATTGTTTTTCTTTTATACCTTATTTATTCTTTTGTTTTAACATTCGAATTTTTTTTTTTGTAGATTTGATTTTGGATGATGAGCAAAAGAAATATTTTTGTCTTCATGAGATTGAGAATATTTTGAAAAGAAATAGAACAAGTCTAGACAGATGGAAAAATATGCCAAAGTTGCAGTTAAATGTTAGAAAAAGTTCTAATTTTTTTATCATTGATGAACTCAGTTACAACCAAGAAGAATTGAAAGCAAACCACGACAGAGATTTTGCAAGACTTACGGATGAGCAAAAGAAGATATATGATGAGATTATTGGTGCTGTGTTAAGTAATTCTGGTGGTATATTTTTCGTGTATGGATTTGGTGGAACTGGGAAAACTTTTCTCTGGAGAATCCTATCTTCTGCAATCCGATCTAAAGGAGACATAGTTCTTAATGTGGCTTCTAGCGGTATTGCTTCTCTACTGTTACAAGGTGGCAGGACTGCACATTCAAGGTTTGGTATTCCTATAAGTCCTGATGAGTTCTCTTTATGTTCAATTGAGAAAGGTTCGGATCTTGCAAATTTGGTCAAGCAGGCTTCTCTTATAATATGGGACGAAGCACCAATGATGACTAAACATCGTTTTGAATCTTTGGATCGTTCCTTACAAGACATTCTTGGTAAGAAGGATGATAAACCTTTTGGTGGAAAAGTTGTGGTTTTTGGAGGTGATTTTAGGCAAGTACTTCCAGTGATTCATGGAGCGGGCAGGGCAGAAATCGTTTTGGCTTCACTTAATTCATCATATCTTTGGGATAAATGTAAAGTTCTTAAGTTGACAAAGAATATACGTCTTATTTCGGATAATCTTACTGTTCAAGAAGCAAAGGATCTAAAGGGATTTTCAGAGTGGATTTTAGATGTTGGTGATGGGAGGATTGCCGAGCCTAATGATGGTGTTGCTCAAATTGACATTCCAGAAGAGTTTCTTATTCTGGATTCAAAGGATCCAATTGAATGTATAAGCACGAAGATCTATGGAGATCTTTCTGACTTACATCAGCATAATGATCCTATGTTTTTTCAAGCAAGAGCGATTTTTTGTCCTACCAATGAAGATGTGAACATGATTAATGAGCATATGTTGGATAAGCTCAAAGGTTAGTTAATTTTGGGTTATGGTACTAATTAAGTTTTGTTTTAAACTTTTTTGATTCCTATGTTTATCATCCGTGATTTTCTTTTTTTTTAAACTAGGTGAGGAGAAAACCTACTTAAGTGCGGATACTTTAGACCCTGCTGACCTAAAAGCAGCTACTAATGAAGCCCTTACTCCAGAGTTTCTAAACAGCATTAAAATTTCGGGATTGCCTAATCACAGTCTTAGATTGAAGATTGGTTGTCCTGTTATGTTATTAAGGAATATTGATCCTATGGGAGGATTGATGAATGGAACTAGGTTGCAGATTACTCAACTTGCAGATTTTATGGTTGAAGCTCGAGTCATCACGGGTGAGAAGATTGGTCAGAAAGTTCTAATTCCTAGACTTTTGATTACTCCATCAGATGCGAAATTGCCTTTCAAGATGAGGAGAAGACAGCTGCCCTTAGCTGTCGCTTTTGCTATTACAATCAACAAGAGCCAAAGACAGTCGCTCTCTGAAGTTGGTTTATTTTTACCCAGACCAGTGTTCTCACATGGTCAACTTTATGTTGCCATTTCGAGAGTGACATCAAGGAAAGGTTTGAAAATTTTGATTGTTGATAATGAAGGAAAACCTCAAAGAAAGACAACTAATGTTGTTTTTAAAGAGGTTTTCCAAAATCTAAAACCTATTAACTAATTAGTAACACTCCATTGATGTTACTAAGTAGTTATTAGTAACTCATTATTAACTAATGAGTCATGGAAACTAAGGTGTTTCCAAATATCTTCTGAATTTTCTTTTTTTGTAATTCTTAAATTTTTAATTGTTATGGATTTTGAACAGTATCATAATATTTTTCCAGATTATTGTGGTTTCAGTTGACTACTAAATAGAGATTCATTCTTTGTCCTAAATGAAATCACAAAAGCAGATCAACTAACTATAACCACCAATCAAGTTCTTTTTTAATGATATTTCCATATTTTAAATATTTCTAACCTTGAACAAGCAGCATCAAGATTTTCCCTTCCATCGATCCGCACAACTTCACTTGATATAGTTTTGAATCTGTATAAAGATGGAAATAAGCATTTATTAACTCTACATAACAATGACATATTATATATCTCAAATTGACATTGGAAAATACTAACCCGCACCCATGCAAACATCATCATTGTTTCTCCAACTGATACTTCTTTAAACTATTTTGCATATTGGATCTACAATTATTTCATGAAAAAAAATCAGTATTCAAATAACTCTTTATTCTATATTTATATACATAGTATGAGAATCAAACTTATCTTGAGATGCTCTGCATTATACATTTTAAAATCTTCATATAATTTCGATCCTCCATCCAAATATGGACATGTAATAAAAACATAGGAAGATACAGTTGTTAATTTCATGATCTTTTAGCTTATGTTGTAAATTGAACAGTATTATGACCTACGCATAAGAAACTATGAAAATTGAATAGGTGATGTGTTTTAATACCTCATCATTTCAGCTAAGTTTCAAAGGCGTTTATATTAATAACCTGTAAATCATGACAAGAAACGATGGTAAATAAAAACATGTTATAAATTGTTGTCAACTTTAAAGTTTTCAAGTTCAACTTTAAAGTTTTCAAGTTCAAGTTTTCAAAGGAACAACTCTTTGTTTCGGACATCAAAATTACGAACATTATCAAAATCTTTCAAAATCTAAACTATTTGATAGAAATTTTTCTTACCTACATATCGTAGCTTTCTTGGATGAAATATTGTTGAGTTTGATGGGCTTTTCCTTTTGCAACGATTTGGAAAAATAATTGCCTGTAATAAGAGGAATAAAATTAAATTACATAAACTGTACCTTCAACATTTATACTTATTTATATAAAATGGTAAATACATACCAATGATAAATATATCTGTTTTGGCCCGAAGATTTTACGAAAACTTCAGTATAATATGTTTTATATTCAAGAACCATATATATTGACCTGCACTTATCTACATGAAAAACAAGAAATCAGTGATATATTAAAGAACTTCTATCAAAACTTATTTGAATCGTAAAGACTTGAAACTCATCTTTCTCGATTGAGTTGAAAAAATATTCATTTAGGACATTCCTTCCTCCAAAGATGAACATGTAATAAAATCACAAAAAACGAAATGTTAATTTTACTGAACTTGGACTGGTTATTGGAAATAATTTTTTGGATCAAGAAGAAACTAAAAGAGTTTAAGCTAAGTATTGTAAACTTATACCTCATCACTTCAGTTTTTTTTACCCGATCCAATATATTATAACCTGTAAACAAAACAAACAAACGATTATCAATAAATTCAGGCTATAAATTGATTTTTATTTAAAACGGAACAAATTATAGACGAAGATTTACAATAGATGAAAACAAAATTTTCAATCCGAACCAGATTTGATAATCTCTTGATTTATGATGAAAATGAATCTATATTTTTCGTTTCAAATATGACTAACATTCATATAATCTTTCAAAATCAAAACTATAGCACATGATTGAAATTTGCTTACCCAGATTTTGGTCGGAAGTTCCGTAGTCGCCAACATCTGATTTTGGACCCGTCGCTTCGATTTCTTCCCTCAGCCGATCGATCAAAAATCAGATCCGGTAATTATCTTCATAAATCCGAATTATCGAAGGTTAAAGAGAGGAGCAAGACGAAGATCTGGGTGAGGTTAATCGCATTCCGACGGAGAAGACAGCTGAGATTTTTATCGATAACAATTCCAGACCAGATAAAAAAATCATGATCCTGTCTAAACAAAAAAAATTAGATACATATAGGCCAAGATAATATTTAACTAACCCCATAATAAACGTGACAGTAATTTTCAAAATATCTTGGACCGGCCTATACTCACAAAATTTTAATAAACCCGTGCATGGGTGCTGATCCGAAATCTAATCTCATTTAAATGAGAAAATGACATTAAATCATGTGATGGCAGCATAAATCAATTTTTCTGCCAAAATGACATCTGAGCTCCTTGCTTCTAAAATACGTTCAATCTCCGTAGAAAATGATGTGAGAGGTGAGAGTGATGTCAGCCAAGTTGGGTTGCCGACTCTACTGTTATTTTCAATAAACAGATATTATTTTCAAAAAATTTAGAACGGTAAACATGCATAATGGACTAAAATAAACTATCCAGTTAACAGCTGTTCAAAAATTTAAACTAGTTTGAATTTTTGAATATATTCATTTAACAACTGTTCAAGTTTTTAAAGTAGAACAACAGATAAAGAAAACATAGATACCAAATACTGTATAGTTTTTGATAAAGAAAAAAGGGTTAATGTATTGATTGCATGATCCGGCCACACAAATCTTACTTAAGCTGTTGAAAAAAAAAAAAAGAGAGAAGATATAGCTAATGTTATACAAGAGATATGATGCCTAACACATTGTCATCAAATTTGCTTTTTTATATATCAATACATCACAACTCACAAGTTAAAGAAAGCCAGATTGTCGCATCGATCAGACTAGATGATTCATATCAGTTTTTTTGGTCCTACACAGCTCACATATGTACATAACACATCCCTAGATGTGAATTCGTATAGTGACACATGGGATCAGTAGTACAATTTATAGGGAACAAACACCGGCCAAATCAGGTCACGTTTATTAGGTTGCGAAACTATTATACTCTGTAACAACTACCATATGTTAGGTTGCGACACTATTACATCCTTTCACATCTACTGATCTACCATGTACATACTCTCTCTTATCTCCATAAATGGAATCAAAATATTACACACGAAGAGCCTTATATAAACACACACACTCACATCAGATAATTCCATTATATATGTTTGTAAGTAAGAAATTAAAGCTTTTCTAAAGTAAAAAAATTTTAGAAAAAAAAACCCATGACGATGAAGACGGAATGCATCGGCGAAGAAGTGATTAAACCATTTTCACCAACACCGAATCATCTCAAAACCTTTCATCTTTCTCTCTTTGATCAATTTCTTCCACCAACTTACCAAACCGTTGTTTTGTTCTACGACAAAGAATGTGGATTTGATCAAGCTAACCCAAAAGAAGAGGTAGCAAGAATTAATTTGATCCAAACGCTCAAGAACTCTCTCTCACACACTCTCACTCGTTTCTACCCGCTCGCTGGACGGATCCAAGGCGTCTCCGTCGACTGCAACGATGAAGGAGTTCTGTTTACTGAGGCACGAGCCGATGTACCTCTCTCGGATGTCCTAAGTAACCCTCGTTCTGATTTGCTTCAGCAACTCATAGCTCCTTTGAAAGTGTCTAATCCAGGTACTATACATTTAACTTTTAAATTAGTATTCAGTGGATTTGTATTATATATTCGAGTATATTATCGATTGTTTGTTTGTGTTCGCGCTTTTATAAGAAACAAACTCTATTAATATTCTTAATTAGAATATTTATCTAAATCATAAAAATAAAAAACACAAACTCAAACAGAAAGGAAACCTTAGTTTGCATTTCCATTTTACAGAAAGAAAATTGTAGTGAAAGTGTTGTATTTTTGTAAATAATGTGAAAGATATTAAACTGTCTTCAAAAAAAAAAAAAAAAAAACAACCTTCATGCAAACTAAAAAATTGCGTTTAAAACAATATGAGTAAATGTTTGAACAGGTACGTGGCCGCTGTTGCGGGTCAAGGTCAGCTTCTTTAGAAACAAGGGATTTTCAGTTGCGGTTGGCGTTTCTCACAAAATCTGCGATACGACTTCTTTGGGCACGCTGATTTGCGACTGGACCAATGCCGCAAAAGGGCACGTTCTGACCGTAAATCACGATTTCGAATCGCCGGTTTTCTACCCTCCTGGTGATCTTTCTATCAATTTTCCTCCGATTTTGGAACGAACGAACACTTTGACAAGGAGATTTGTATTTGTTCCCTCCAAGATTAAAGATCTCAAAAGCAGAGCTTCAAGCAAACTTGTGACCCACGCTACCCGTAATGAAGCCACCTCAGCTCTTCTCTTCAAATGTATGATGAAGGCAGCTCAATCCAAATCAGACGCGGTTGTAACGCAGACTATGGACTTGCGGGCTAGGGTTCCTTCTACTTTCTTGTCACGCAAGGAAACTGGTAATTTCTTCTTTTTATCTACTCTAAAAGAGAACACAGAGAATGAGATTGATATCCAGGAAATGGTGTTCAAGCTAAGGAATACTAAGAAGGAGCTCGATGAGCTGATCAAAGAAAACTCGGATCATGTGGGTGAGGGACTCATGAGCGCGATGTTGAGCACGTTGTACGAGATGACTCCTGAGACAGAGACGTATGTAGTGACTAGCTGGTGTGGAATGCCCTTTTACGGGTCGGATTTCGGTTTGGGAACTCCGGTTTGGGTCGCGGCTGATTCGATTGACAAGACGCAGGTTGTGTTGGTGGATGCAAATGATGGTGAAGGAATTGAGGCGTGGGTTACATTACCTGAAGACGACATGTCTGCGTTCGAACGTGACGAGGAGTTGCTCGCTTTTGCATCTACCTAAGCGTGTTAAAGTTCTGTTTCTGCAATTATAAGTTGGTTAAAAAATAATTATGTAAAATGTTTGTGTAATATTTGGTATTTATGTTATGTACCATATTTGTGGCCATGTGGACGATTCAGTCGCAGTAAGTTACATGCACTTAATAAAATACTTAGAGGTTGAAGAATAAAGAGGTTTATGATCTTTTTACCAAGTAATTATTATCTTGCATTGCATTTTAGGATGGTTTTGGTTTTGGTTTTGAGTTTGTCACTTTTGATACGTTGTTTATTACGCTGGAGACTTTCATATGCGTTGTCATATTTGCTTTTTCTAGAGCAATGCGTTGAAACTTCAAATTTCTTGGAAGTCCATCCAACAACCCTGCAAAGAAAACCAACGAGCCAATCAGCCAAATATGCTCTTCCAGTCCAAAATTTTCAAGCATTTAATGGTAGGCCCACAGAGACAACTTTACAGCAACTGGACCCAGCCCATTTAATATCAATAAACCTCTTGAGGGTCGTTGACTCGTTGGATGATAAACCTCTTGAGGGTCGTATTGAGGTTTCCCAAAAGTTTTTTTTTTTGAAAGAATGTTAAATTTCTATTCATCTAAAAAAAACTTCGTTTGTACAACTTGTGTTACTTTCGTAGAAAAGAAAACAGAATTAACTATCGATGCTTAGTTACGTGTTTGAAACCAAAAAGCCAGAGTCTCCTGATCATGTCGTGGATCCAAACGTCGGATGGATGAGATTCGGTCCCGAATGGCCTTGTCAATGAGATGGGTGACGTGCAGAGGTGGTGAATGAGATTCACCGTGTCTTCTGTTGTTTCTCTCCTTCCAAACATAATAGATTGTAGTTTGGAGCGCATATCAAAATAGAAACACCGTTGCGAGAGGCGTTGTTAGACCCGAAATGAGTTGAATGATTTGTTCCCACGTTGAGACATACCTTTGCTTTCCTGAGTGAGCGATTTCCAAATTTGATTTGTGTAGTCACATATGAAGAACAGATGGTTCCTTGATTCTGTTGCATTGGCACAAAGAGTACATGCCGAGGAAGCTCTAATATTCCATTGCAGCATGCGATTTCCGTTGTTAAACGATTATGGGTTGCAAGCCAAGCTGCAAATGAGAATTTTGGAGTTGCATGCCGAAACCATATGCCGCCGTAACAAGGTTTACTCTGCTTCCCATTCCTTATCTGGTCCAAACATCCTCAGAATTAAAATTTCGTTGAAAATCTCTATTTTTCCGACGCCAAAGAGGCCATTCTGGCCCACCCACGACTCTTTAAAGTTTGGCATCATGGATGATGTTCTCAATAGTATTGAGAGCTTCATTCCTATGCCTTCGACGTGCATGATGATCGAAAACCCATGCCACAGATTCATTGATTGGAATCCTCAGATCAATTACTCCTCTTGCACCAGTTAAGTCGATCAATCGTCCCAACGGTGTCCATATATCATACCAGAAAGAAGTAGTGCTACCCGAGTGAACCTCTATAGTATGATATCCATAAACCTCTTTAGGGGCGTATCAGTGGTTTTCTAATAAGTTGATGAAACATCACTTGATTTTTTTTGTTCCTCAACAGCATACTCATTTTATCATAACCATACGACTGTGCAAGTAGAGTTTTTTTTTTCTTTTCCTTGGACAAAATAATTTATATATATCAAAATATATTTTTTTTTTGACAAATGGCTTTCAAAAATGTAAGGAGAATAAACAATACGTTTATAATAGTTTGAGAAAAAATATTTTAAAAAAGATTTCTATATCAAAAAAAAAAAATCTAGAGAAAAAAATTAAAAATATTTTCCGGTTACTTTTAAAATCCATAGCTTCTTCAACCGGCACAACCAGTGCCGGCCCAAATTCATTGGACACCTAAAGTCTGCCAAAAAAATACTGCCCTATATTAAAGGAACCTACATAATTTAATACCTATAATAATCATAATACATTTTGGTGTCTAAAGTCCTGGCCACAACTCTTACGTTTTGTATAGATTTTATTGGTCTTCTTATTCTTATCTTTTGAAAAAGGTTATCTATCTCAAAACTTGTAGCTCCAAAATCTAAAGTGGCAAAATAGTTGCTACCAAAGACATTCCTTTGAACAATTTCATTAGCTAATGAATCTGATAGAAGAAGAGTTGAGAAAGTTATTAAAGCAGGAGTACCACCAAATAAAAGAATAGTGTTAGCATTTTCGAACACATTGATATGATCGAAATCAATCGGATTAACAACATCAGTCGCTATTCATTTTGCCTCTTCACATGGTAAGGCAAGATCTAATTTATATATACATAAGTAATACTCCTATATCTATTTTCTTTTCATTCTACTATTCCTGTTTGAATTAACTTTTAATTTACTGTATTTGATGTTTTTCCCCTGAAGCGATATACTATTTTTTATGATTTAAAACAAAATATACATAAGTAATTCGATACTTAGTTAATTTATTATTCAATAGCTTTCCCAATATGTAAAAACTTCAATATATTTAGTTCAGAAGCTTAGAGAGTAGGAAGTTAATTATACGGGCCTATTTATAAATAGTTATAATCATTTTCTTTTTATGATTTGGTAATGTGTCTTTTTGAAAGAAGAAAAAAGAAACTGTCCATTCTTATTTTATTTCAGATTTAAAAATGATAGGTTTTATGCTAAATGTACCAATTTGTTGTATAAATAATTTAAAAATGTGATAAAGAAAACTCTGGTTTACATGTAAAAGTATGAATGATGGCTATAGATTAGGGTTGCTGGATATAATAGAAAGGGAATTGAACACACCATAAGCCCCGGCCCAACAATATTTCAGATCTCTGGGGCAAAAAAAAAATTTGGGTTCTGAAAATATCATTTTTCAAAAAAAAAAATATTTTTTCTATATTTTTTTATCAATTTCAATTTAAAAGCAAAAGTCTATGATACTTTTAATTTTTAAATAAAATTAGCCTTGATGAAAAAAAAAACAAAAAATTTGAGCCTTTTTTACAATTTCTTTTTTTTTAAAAAAAAATAGGTAATCACTGCACCTTTGCCCACTCTTTTGCGCTACGCCTGCACCACTTGCATAATTGCACCATCTATTATTTAGTTGAGCTATGAATCATTTTAAAAATACTAAAAATATATATTTATATAAAGAAAACATGAATATTTTAAAAATCTTAAGAACTATATCTCAATTAAATTTCTAATAATAAATAGTTAACTTAAGGGCAATTTCTATAATTACACGGAAAATAAGTTTTCGGGACAAATATAACTGGAAAGTTAAAAATTTTCCACCTCTAACATTTTTCATTTGAGTTTTCAGATTTTACCTTTTAGGAAAATCTTCCTAATTTTTTTTTGTTAATGTTTCGTGATTTTTTTAGGAAAATCTTCTAAATACTAGAATTTAACATCGTTTCATATGGTTTATGAAAGCTTTCTTAAATTTTTTTAAATTTCCTAAATTGTGGAAGGGCTTCATGAATTGTGGAAGGGCTTTCTGGAAGGGCTTTTTGAATTTGAGTTGTATAAATTAACAAAAAAAAAATTAACTATATGATTTACGAAGGCATTCCTAAATACATGTATAATGACTTCTTTAATTTATACATTTTAGGAAAGTCTTCCTAAAACTTTAGAATATCTTCTTAAAAATACACTCATCTCCTTCCTCATTTTTGCTGCATCCAAACCCTAATTTCTGCCGATTTCTTTTTTTTTCACTATTATTGTTGTTATAGCTCGGGTTTTTTGAGTTTTTCACCCAATTATATCAGATCTATCTATCATTATATAGTTTTGAGCTTTAAATCCTAAAATCATTTTCCCATCAAAAAATTCTCAAAGATCTGAGAGATTCACGATCACAAATTATAAATGAGAAGAGTGATCATAAACAAAACAAATGATTCGAATTTCAGATCAGCTTTGGCCATGAATACATTTGTTTGTATATTATTTTTCTTCTCTTTTTATTAACTAATGTTTTGTCTAACTAAGATTAATATGGTACAAAATGTTATGGAAGAAATTTTTTAGAGTGTTGAACAAAAACTTAAATTAGATACAGCTGAGAGAATTTCTCTTAATTTAACTATGTGCTAAGTCCAACTCAACTGTCCTATTAACGTTTAATAATATTTTTAATCTAGAGATTTTCCTAATTTGTTCTAATATTTTTTTTTTACTTTTTGATAAAATTTAAATTCAAAATAATTTACATATTTCTAAATTAGAAATATTTATATGTAAAAATCTAATTGCTATATATATACCATTTTACATTTTACAATGCTAGTTACTACAGTAATTTTGAAATGTTATTTTTTATATAATAAAAAGTGTGTATATAGAGCCTATTGTTTAAATGACACTCATTTGATTTGACTACAACAGAAATATTCAATTAACGTCACTATAAATTTTTTAACTAGTTTGAGTATCAATCCAATAACATAGATACTAAATAAAGTAATAAAGCTATAGGTTTTGACAAAAAAATTACTAAAAAGGGATCATGCGATCAAATATATCCACACAAGTCACATAAGCATATAAATGGTCGATTTCAAATCCCAATTACATACTTTGGTCCAAAACACTCTTTTTCGATCTTAAATTATATCTCAAACTCATATCCACACAAATCTTAAAGGTTTATAGCCAATTATAGGTTAACAAATAAATGGAAAAAGCCAATTATATACAAGAGATGTGATGCCTGATATTGATGAACAACTTGCGATCAATATACATCACAAATTAATCCAAGCCAGATTGTCGCATCGATCTAACTAGACGAGTCAAATCGGTTTTCTTAGTCTTATACTATTCGCATAAGTACACTTACGGATTTGAACCCGAATTATGAAACAATACGAACCACTACTATAAATCAATTAGTTAGCAAAATAAAATAAAAAACACAGTACTATTAATCAATTGAGAACACGGGTCAAATCAAATCACAATCTAGGTTGCGATTGACCATCAGGTTTGAACATACTATCTACCATACATTTCTTAACTATTATCTCCTCTTTTTTTTTGTTCAAACTTAACTATTATCTCCTCATCTCCACAAATTGCATGTGAATGTGAATGGGATCAAAACACTATCCGTTGGCAAGAAGAGATGCCACGTTTAAATTTTCTTTCATGTAAAATATTTTTTTAGAGCATCTTCATCAATAAATATTCATCCAAGTATCTTAACACAAATTATACTAATATTTAATTAGTTAAAATATGAATACAAAATTATATTATTATTTAATTTTTGTGTATCTTAAAAAGCTGAAAGATTTACATCAAAATATCTTAAATGAGAGATTAAAAGATTTTGGTGTGGATTTTTCAACTTTTTAAAATTCCCAAAAATTAAATAATAATATAATTTTGTATTCATACTTTAATTAATTAAATATTAATATAATTTGTATTGAGATACTTAGATAAAATACTTATTGATGAAGATTAAGATACTTATCGATAGAAATGCTCTTATTTCAAAGTCCAGCTGATGGGATACTTTTTCCAATCGTTGCAGTACGCATGCAGACGCAAATATAAGAAAAAGAAATATGAGAAAAAATTGTGAAAATTGTATTGAATCCTGTTGTATACTTGTATTGAATCCTGAATGAAATAAAATTGCGATTGAGTATAATACTTTCGGAGCAAATAATTGAGAGTAATAAACGTGAGTTCGGTAATAGTACGTACTACGTAATGTTGTTAAGTTGTTTAGTAAAAACTGGTTGTCATTCTCGTATGTATATATATTTTTTTTCCATTTATCTTCCGTGAGTAATAAGTTCTCTTATTTATTCGTGCACAGAACCCCATTGTGCTCTGTTTATTTTTTTTATGTGGTTTGGTTTTGGTTTGAAACTTGATTATTTTTTTAATTCTGTAAACAATATGATAAAATAAACGTATTTAATTGTCTATTCTTTTAAAAGCTTTTTATTGAAAATAAAAATAAAAATATTTAGAAATAGTAATTTAAAACCTATATTAAGCAAAATAAACGTTTAAACGGAATAGAAGAAAAGTTTGATTTGAGTCAACTTGACCAATGACAAAGAAGAGTCGAATGAACGCTAATAAACTCAGCTGTCGATGTTGGATGTGATCAAGTCTTGGCTGAGTTCATCTTCTATATATTAGTTACCAAAACTACTGCTAAGATCATCTCCAATATATGATTGTATTCTTTATATCAAAATAAAATAATTATAAAATGTATTTTAATTTTTCTTTAATGTATACTTGTATTTTTTATTTTTAAAATGATATTTTAAATGTATTATTTTATTATTAATTGTTTTTAAATGTATTTTTTATACTTATCAATAAAAAAATTCATCATCAAAATTGTTATTTATCTCCTAAAGTAAAAATATTTAAAATTTGAAAGATTAGTTTATAAATAAAAAAAAGTCTAATTGTAAAATGGAATTAATAAAATGATTTCATATTTGAAATAAAAAATAGCATTATACCATTATGCAATTGAAAATAAGACGGAATTGAAGTACATTTTATTCCAAAATAAAATTTGAAACCAGATTTGATATAATGTTGGAGATGCTAATGATGGTTATATAGGGATGCTAGTGCTGGTTATAGTGACTGTGACTTTCGTTTATACAAATGAAAGTTGAAAGTTAAATGTTAAATGTTAAAAAAAATTTAAATCTTTTACCAGATTTTTACTATCATCTATTTATTTAAGACCCATCAAATTCATAGTTCAAAGGCACAACAACATGAGCTTGTTTTGGAACACAGGATTATGGGTTATAGCCTTAGTGGTTGTGACGATTAGTCACTGGTGGTACCGATGGTCAAACCCCAAGTCTAAAGGCAAGTTGCCTCCAGGATCAATGGGTTTCCCGATCATCGGAGAGACATTCCAATTCTTTAAGCCTTATGGATTCTACGAGATCTTCCCATTTCTCAAGAAGAAGATGTTAAGGTCAGATCCCAGTCTCTCTCTCTCTCTCTCTCTCTCTCTCTCTCTCTCTCTCTCTCTCTCTCTATATATATATATATATCATTTCTTTACAGAGCATGAAATCTTGTATGTTATGTTTGTGTGAGTGTTTTAGGTATGGTCCTTTGTTTCGGACGAACATTCTTGGAGTTAAAACCGTGGTTTCAACGGATATGGACGTGAACATGGAGATTTTACGGCAAGAGAACAAGTCTTTCATTTTAAGTTATCCGAACGGTTTAGATAAGACATTAGGAAAAGATAGCTTGTTCTTCAAGACAGGAAACATCCACAAGCACATCAAACAACTCACTCTTCACCTTTTGGGCTCCGAGAATTTGAAGCGGAAGATAATAAAAGATATGGACCGCGTGACACGCGAGCATCTTAGTTTGAAGGCTAGTGAAGGAATATTCGACGTTAAGGACACAGTTTCAAGTGTAGTCTATCTTATCTATTTCGTTTTTTTCTTCTAAACAAGTGCAGTTACGATGTTGGAGTAATTTATGGTGTTGCGTGTGCTAGTCTCGCACTCTTTAATTAGCCTGTTTTCAACTTTTGTAGTTGATAACAGCCCACTTGACACCAAAGGTGATAAGTAATCTCAAACCAGAGACTCAAGCAAAGCTTATCAAAAACTTCATGGCCTTTAGTTTTGATTGGTTTCGAACATCCTATCTCCTCTCTGCCGGGAGAGGTCTCTACAATACCCTTCGGGTGAGATAATTATAATTGTTGTTTCTTTTTGTTTTCTTGGGGAATAAAACACGAAACCATGATTTCTATAATATTATATACAGGCATGCAGAGAGGGTATGCAAGTGTTAAAGGATGTTTACACGTGGAAGAAAACGTCAAGAGAGAAGTACGGTGACTTCCTCGACACGGCAATAGAAGAGTTGGAGAAAGAAGGAAGCTTAGTGAACGAAGATGCGATTGTAACCCTAATCTTCACTCTTTCCTCTATCATTCAAGATACCACCTCTAAGGCCACTTGCATGGCTGTGAAATTCATATCGGAAAACCCAAAAGTTCTCGCTGAATTGAAGGTAACATACCTCTATGGATCGAGAAACTAGTAAATCTTGCATCTAACCAAGTGCTAGTAGTGATGGTCCTAGTAAAATTTTCCACGAGACACACCATCTAATTGGCTAATGTGAAGTTCATATATATGACGGTTTAAGGATCAAAGAGTTTAGCTTTTTGGCTACCAAAAAGATCTTTTGAATTTGTTTTGAGAAACTCATATGTATGTATGTAACTTTTGTAGAGGGAGCATGAGGCGATCCTTGCGATTAGAGAAGATAAAGAAGGTGGAGTTACTTGGGAAGAATACAGAAAGATGACTTTCACCAATATGGTAACTTTACTTTGCTTTCGTCTTAAGGCTCTTATGGAGCGAATTTTGTCATATTCACATGGTGCACCTTTTATTTATACTCTCTAGGTTATCAATGAGTCGCTTCGATTGGCAAACATGGCTCCTATGATGTTTAGAAAAGCGGTGAAGGATGTGGAAATCAAAGGCAAGTAGTAGTAATTATCAATGTGTGGCACCAGGAAAATGTAAATATATAGATTATGAGAGACAAACAAATGTTGACATTTTTTTTGTCGGAATATTTGTTGAAACAGGATACACGATTCCAGCAGGTTGGATAGTGATGGTTATACCTTCAGTGGTTCATCTTGATCCTGAAATTTATGAAAACCCTTTTCAGTTTAATCCATGGAGATGGGAGGTACATAATATTATCCATTTACTCTTGTCTATGTATTTTATGTTTTGTTTCCCAATAAGATTTTAAATTTGTAATTTTTGGTATTGGTGATGAAATGTGGTGGGCAGGGGAAAGAGTTGCGGTCTGTGTCCAAAACGTTCATCGTGTTCGGAGCTGGAATGAGACAGTGCGCTGGTGCAGAATTTGCTAGGCTTCAGATTTCAATTTTCCTTCACCATCTTGTCACCAATTACAATTTCTCCTTGTCCCAAGACTGCGAGGTAGTTCGGGTACCTGGTGCTCACTTCCCCAACGGGATTTCTATCAACATCTCCAGTTTGTCTCAGATGACTTAGTCGGAGCAGACACCCTCTTATCATGAAACACTATCTCCTTTTTCTATCTTTCTTCCTTGTGTTTTCCTTAATCATGTGAATTCAGTATCTTCTATACTGTAATAATACAGATTATTATGATACGAGTCATATTCACGCAACGTGCATGATTTAAATGTGGTTTCTTTGCTCTTTTTTTAGGGACAAATTTTGTTCTGATTAAATTAAACTGGGTTTGTTACAACTTGTGCTAAAGCTAAAGTGACGAGTTTTGGTTGCTTCCCATATCTCTTTAATTTGGAGAATCTTGTCATTATGTATTGATAAATATTTTAACTAGATTCATTAAGCACACAATAAAATAAACCACACATGTTGAAGATACACTTCCTAATATGACATCTTATAATAATTGCATGATTCCTCAATTCACTCCATCATCATCTCCATCGTTTCAGCCTCATAATCTGTAAATATTTACTATCATATCTTCAGTGATTCTGCTCTGTATATGTATATAAAGTTATAAACCATGTAAATCTCTCTAAGGGAGAACAAGAAAACATTACAACATTCATAACACATATCTTATTATAGAAAATAAAATATGTATATAACAGTCTCATTCTCAATCTCACACATAATTTGAATACATAACTTCAGTCGAGTGCAACAGTACTCCTCAAATTAAGGTTTTTTCCGTTAAGATGGATCAAATCTCATCAGAACGTACGCTATAACCGAGGATGACGATAATCATAACGCGATGATCACCACGAAGACGCACACCCACAAGGTATCGTACATTTTACAAACCATTCCTTGTTTCTCAAGCAATCACGCAAAACAATAAAATTAAAAAAAAAAAAACAATAAATGGAAGCTGGGAAGTTGGGAAAGATCACCAGTTGAAGCTAATTGCCTCAAAGTGGAGATTTTTAGCCAAACCAGAGCCGCAGATTTTTGCTACCTCGTGTCTTAACTTTCTTGGTCCACACACCATTACTCCCACGTCTTCTGAACCTTCTGCCTCAAACATTATCTCTGCGAAATGGCATCGCTTTTGGTCAATTTTTACTATGAAATTTGGGTCATGCATTTGACATTAGATTATGTCAAAAGAAAATAGACTTACTCTTTAGATTAGGTTTAGAGCCGAAGTGAACATTAGTGGCTTGTACTATAGACTGATACGGGACACTCTCCAGCTCTCTCTCGGTGTTGTCACCGAGCCATGAGGAAGGAGAAGATGTTGGCGTCTGAAAGTCTATGACGCTCCGTTTCTTCTTATTCGAATCATGGACTCCCTCGTTGTTTTGTTTCTTGCGATACAAGAAAACCGCGCTTGAAGCAATGAAAATGCAGAGACATCCAAGAAACATGTCCCAGAGCGATCTGTAAGTGAAGTTGTATACACTTCCTTCACGGTCCACAGGGTACATGTAATAGCGTGTGACGATGGCTATGAGAAGTAGAAACATTGCGAATGATGTCAAGATCACAACGCCAAGCCATAGTAAGTTGTTGGGTCCAAGAACAGGTGAGATGGGTGAATCTTTGTTGTTTGGTTTGAACCATTTCGTCTTCACATGATTTCCATCGTCGGATGTTGATGTTTGCGGCTGCTCGTTATCCCTTGTTACGTAGGCTTCTATTCGAAGCTTCAACTTGGAAATATCTGAGACTGATATGCCTGAGGGAGGGAAAATTAGGTCTAAAAGGGAAAGATCTTGGTAATGTTTGAAGGAGCAAACAAGAAGAAGATCTGGTAGTTTTGTGTTCGGGTTCTGACTCTGGAAAATAATCTCTCTGATGACTGAAATGAACGGAGCGATTCCGCTTCCGCCGCTTACTAGTATCAGAGAGTCGTGGTTTAAGAAGTCGAAAGAGGTAGGTCCATAAGGTCCTTCAGTCGAGACTTCGACAGAATCGATAGAAGAAGAAGAGATATGGTCGTAGAGCTTCTGAGTCCAAGTCCCTTGTCTTCTGATGACAACACTTACTTTGTCTTCCTCCAAATTGCTGCTTGAGGTTATTGAGAAGGGATGCCATTGCAGCTTGGAAATGCTTGGCACATGTACAAATAGTATACTTGTTGGGTTGTAATGAAGTCCTGCGCAATGCCCACCATAACCACAAATGGTTACATTTATTCAAGAGAAAAAAAAACACAAAATGTTTGTGAATATGGAAGTGTCAAACAGGTGCCAAAGTATATGGACTAATTAACACCAAAGATGCCTTGTCATTATATAGTGGTGTCAAAATGAGGTGAACTCAGATCAACTCATCATGATGTAGAGTATTCATGAATTAGGTCAACTCATCTAATTGATTATATGCATAATTTTAGATTATGACCCTATAAGCTAAAGACCCGGAACTTCCAAAGCTTATAATTAAAAAGTATGGAATGAATAGATTATATGTAGTGTGACAAACCAGGAACTTTGGAGAAAGTGAGTTCGATGTTATCAGAAGGTAAGAGCCTTGCACTGACGAGCCGTGATCGCTTCATTGACTGTAGGAACCTCAAGTAGCGATCTATGAAGAAGAGGAAAATGTTGGGCAAGATCATGCATAACCATGAGTCTCCCACGTGGAACACATAGAAGATTATGTAGAGACCGTAAAGCTGGTGAGTGTAGAAGAAAATCTCAAACTTCTTTCGTCTGAAGTAAGCTGTGCTCGTCACCCAAATCGCTATTCCGATAACCATTGCTATGATTCCGGCTAAATTCGGCACATAAGTCTTGCTCCATGCAAATATCTTTGCGTACATATAGATGAACAACAACATATATATAAGAGCTTGGCATATAATTGTACAGGAAATTTAAAATAGAAAACGAAAATATATAGCTTTTTCGAATGAGTTAGAGAAAATCAGTTGCTACACGAATAAATTTTTACTAGTGATTCGACATATACGTCATAAATTTGAATCTTGAACCCTATATAGAACTTCACAATTTACTCAGAAGTAATTAGAACATTCTTTAGCTTTTGTCCCATATATATAAGAAAACATTTAGATGTAACGGACCTCGATTAACTGATTGGTCATGCCCCAGTAGATAAGGAAAACCACGGTGTGAAGGAGGAAGAGGCAGTTGGAGATATGTCCGAGCCAAATGTGATATTTGATGCTTGACTCGGAAGTCAATCCGACGAGTGGCAGAATCGTAGAGGCTCTTGTGACAGGAAAGAACAAAAAGGCCCAACAAAAGTGCCCCACGTACCCTACTCTCAACCCAAAAGCCCTAAACTTCGCCTGCCATCTGCGCCATTTTGATTCAAATTAGGTTTGTCAATGTTATTTGTTAGTAGAAATGAATGAGCTTACATCTTAGCGTTGTCGTGATTGTAAAGTTGGACGTTATAGCTAATGTAGAGGTAATTGGCGAGAGCCCAAGTCAAAAGAGACACAAACAGGATAGAGAAAGTCAGGTCCGTTGAGGTTACTATCCCCAATGGATTCATCACCATCATCACCCGCCCCATCCCTCCTTTTACTTTACATTTACTGCGAAAAAATTGGAATTACATATACAGTTATTATTGCACATTACGTAACTTACATCTATGTAGCATATAGGTTTCAAATGTTTTAAAACGTGTTTGCGTTATACATGTTATTGTTAGGGTACATATAGCTTTTGAGTTGGGTAATAGGTGACTGAGTTTCTTCTAAAGAAAAACAAAATAATATTGGAGTTCATAGTCATTTATCATGTAACTTTTAAGTCGTCAAATACGTACGAAAATTTAGTAACCAGTGAAATTTACTATATGATCTAGATTACACGGACAAAATCACTCGGTTAACCAAGTAGTTTATACCCTCACCTCTCGGAACGTTGAATATCAGTTTGTTTCTTCTGAATATGCAAATAGACACAGCTCACGACCGCAATGAACATCATTGGAATCGTAAGTAGCACAAGATTCGTGCCTATACACATACATGAAATAACATAAGGGAACAAGAAATTTTATAAATTGCAAGAGATTATAAGTTCAAGGAAAAAAAAAGGAGAGAGGATAAATATTAACATCAACCAACCTTGAGGGCCAAAATAAGTAGTGTTAAAATACTTAGCAAGTTTCGGAGTCCAATCGTATTTGTAAACCTTAGTCGAAATCATTATCCATATAAAAATCCATCCAACAAACACAAACGCAAGTATCATCTTCAGCAAGTTCCTCATATTTCCCATATTTGTGTGAAATTGTGTATGTATGCCTGTTAGGTTTTGTTCTGGAGAAAAAGTGAACTTCTTGATTCGGCTTTTATAGAGGGGTATGTGCGGTTCTTTAAATATGTGTATTTGCAAGATAATTGCAACATGGTTGCATCATAACCTTTAGAAAGATGAGAAAATTCTGACAAAAAGAGGCATGATTCATGCATGAACGAAATGTTCGTATATTTATTTTTACTTTGCAATCGAGGTATACATAGAAACTTGGATCATTTCAATAAATAATAGAGATTATTTTTACTTTGCAATCGAGGTATACATAGAAACTTGGATCATTTCAATAAATAATAGAGATTATTTTTACTTTGCAATCGAGGTATACATAGACACTTGGATCATTTCAATAAATAATAGAGATAATTTTTGAAATAACTGATTTGATAATTTTATTATGAAATATAATCCTTCCTAAAATAACATATAAAAGAGATTCAGTAGTTTGTTTTCACTTTGCTGTTAGTCTATCAGTAATTTGCAATTAGTCTAGCATTAATCTATAAGTAGTCTATATTCAATTATTTGACTAATCGGTCTGCATTCGATATGCCGTTAATCTACCATTATTCTACAAATAACAGCAATTAGAAAGATAGCGATGGTATTTATATAAAAATCGTAAAAAAAAATTATTTATACAATTTTCTCTCAATAAAATACATATTTCATATTATTTTATCATTCAGAGTCATTTTAGAGCATTTCTTCTAAATAATAATATAAAATAAGAACACTGATTTAAAACATAGAATTCTAATAACTATTTATTTATTTTAATTTTCTTTTCTATTATTTGACTTTCAGTTAAATTTTATGTTGAAGTGATCAACTAATTTATTATATGTGTCTAGAATATGTTAATTACACAGATATATAAAGCTTTATAAAATTGTAAGATGTTTGCGCAACAAAGCTTTGGTGAGTACATAACCTGATTGTTATCGGCAGTCATCACATTTTATTGTAGTACGTACTACCACCGGCTTTAGAATTTTGTACGGCTATCGAAACTTCTTTTTCGGTGTCGTACGCGTAATAATACTAACGTTATCAAGCTAAGATCAATCAGTAGGATAACTCCTAATATTCAGTTATCAAGCTATCAAAAATTACGTGTAAATAATGCACCTTCTTTTTTCGTTTTTTTGAAAACAAAAAACATGCACCTTCTATTCCCAAGAAGAATCCCAAATCCCAACAAATATCAAGATTCTTAAATAAAATATGTTCGTGATAACTGATAAGTGGACACTCCGATACTATTTATTTTGGTGAGAATGTGATCAAAAAATATATATATAATGACAGAAAAAACAAAAATTCAATGGATTCTAATTCTAAAGTTGGCTTATTGTTAAACAATGGTGAGCATTTTTGCTTTAGGGTAATTTGATTTTATAACCCCAAAAAACTATAGTTTAAAATCTAACCAATTTTTTTCTTTTTTTCTTTCTCTATCTCTCCTTATCTCTCGATCAGTTTTTTTTTTATTTACCAAATTCACCGTTTACGTAGTTGGCCCGCACACATGTGCAGATATAAAAATTTTATGTAAAATTAATTATTAATAATATATCAATAACAATAAATAAGTAATTGGCCTGTTTAATAATATATTTGTAAAAAAAATTTGTTTGTGAAAAAAATATTTTAATAGATTTAAAAAATTGTATATAATAAAAAATACAACATACATAAACTTAAAATATTTAAAAAAATTATAAAATAAAATAAAATAATTTTTTACTTTTTATTTATATTTTTCATCTTTTTATAGTTTTTTTATCTCATTCCGTCACTTTATGTCCTATTTCTGGTCCATAATTCTCACTATATAATTGCAATACATTCGCATATAATATAAACTTTTGATCTTTATTTATAGTGAGACAAAATAAGATGATAATAAAATTTTACACAAACAATTGAACTTGTAAATATCTCACTAAAAACTTACTTAAAATAAGGTTTTAAGAAATTTCCATCAAAAAACCGATTTCACAAATTTTATGCCAAAAACATGAATAAGTAACTTTCGCACCAAAAGAATTACATCAAAAAGATGGTCCAAATACATTTAATCAAAATTTTGATTTTGTGAATTTTCCGCCAAAAAGTGAATCTATAAAAAAAATTCTCTAAAAGCTTTACATTAAAAATGTGATTCTAAAAACAACCAGTCAAATTTTTGATTTCATGAATTTCTTGCTATGTAAGTGAAACCGTAAATCTTTCATCAAAAAAACTTATTTAAAAATATATTTTCAAAAAACTTATGTGAAAACCCGAGTTCAGAAATTTTCCATCAAAAACATGAATTTGTAACTTTCCCACGAAAACATTTATTTTATAGTATTTTAATTTGATTTCGTGAGTTTTTGCCAATTATTATGAATCCATAAATTTTTTGTCAAAAATGTGATATTAAAAAATTCCTGGCTAAATAGGTTGTCACAAATTTTTCGCTAAATACTTAAAATCTGTAAATTTTTCTGGCAAAATTTTTATGTCGAAATGTAATTTCAAATTTATTTGACAAAAATATAATTTTTCCAATTTTTTGTCAAAATTTTAAATACTTCAATTTTGTATCAAAATTTTCACATTGAATTTTATTTATAGATTGAATAATGTCATGTTACAAGCCATGTGACAGTTTTGATACATATTGTGAAATTGCGAAATTTCGAAATTATTTAATTTTATTTTGATACATATTGTGAAATTGCTTTTCGAATACAATTGTTAACTTTCAATAAAAAATTTGATACATATTGTGACATGATTTTTTTTTTTAAAACCTAGTTCTCAATAGATAAAGGATTTTGTATTAAAATTTTAAAATCAATTTTTATTTATAGATTAAATAATGTCATGTCACAAGCCATGCATGTATACTAAAAACTGACATGTCACAACTACATCATCATTACACATCATCATTTCCATGTCACATTAAAATTGTTCAAACTAAACATATTAACCAATCAAATGAAAACAAATCATCATTTTTCATTAAACTACATTCTCAATTAATAGGTAAAGTATATTTGATTGCAATGAAAGTATCCAAAAAAATTAAAAAAAAAATTACAAGAGAATAAGTCTCTTTTTTTTCTTTTAAATCACAATGTTATATTATACTTTGGAAAAAGCTAATTTTTAAGTAATACATATATAGGGATTCTTACAAAAATGACCTAAAATTTGATTTGAAATGCAAATCTAACCCATAAAAATCACCTTCCCAACATTTGCCATTTTGTGTCCAAACAATCCTTTATAGTTTCAGTTATTCACGAAATTGTCATTGTTTTTAATTAATTTCTTTAATTTTTGAAAATCCAAATGACCAACTAATCCTCATCTTCCTCACTTATTTACGAAAATGCCATCATCAACAATTCATCCAACCACAATTTCAACCAATTTCGAGCTTTAATGGCACCAAAAACCCATTTTTGAGTTTGTTTAGCTCATTATCTTTCTTTTAAGCTTCTATTCTTCCATTTTCTCTCTATTTTCTTCCCAAAAACTCTATAATTTGACTATTAGAAAGTTGAAGTTCATATATATTTCTATATTCCAGCGAGTTGGTTGTTTTTTGCTGTTGTGCTTCTTTCATGGTGGCTAGAATCAAAGATCTTGACCAGAAAAGAAGCTAAGGACGAGTGGTAAGTCGGATTTTAAGTCAATTTTAGTGTTTTTCAGTTATGGGCTTCGAAAGTAGACTTCTCTTGGTCTGAAAGAAGTCTACTAGTCAACGTCCATGTTAGTTTTGCAATTGACCGAATGAAAAAAGCAGACTTCTTTTAGTCTGAATGACGTCTACTCCATTTCCTTTAATAACAAAAAAATGAAGTACACTTCTCGAGTAGACTTCTTTAGAAGCAGGTCATTTTTGCAATTGACCAACCTTTGACTTTGTAGAGTAGACTTCTCCATGTAAAGTACTTCTCCGAGAAGTCTACTTTTTGGAAGTAGACTTCTCGAAGGTCATTTTTGCAATTGAAAAATATTTGACTTTTTGGTCAATTGCAAAAATGACCTGCTAGAAGTCTACTCCGGAAAATAGACTCCTCCGAGAAGTCTACTTACAAAAGTAGACTTCTCGCAGGTCATTTTTGCAATTGACCAAAAAGTCAAATATTTTTCAATTGCAAAAATGACCTACAAGAAGTCTACTTCCAAAAAGTAGACTTCTCGGAGAAGTCTACTTTTCTTGAAGAAGTCTACTAATCTTTTGGCAATCGCAAAACTAACCCCGCGAGAAGACTACTTTTCTCCGAGAAGTGTACTTTTCTTGTTTTTAAAAAAAAACCATTTTTATACAATATATAACGAATTTTTAAAATTTTTGTGATCCTAAGCTTCTTTTAGTAAGTGTTCTTGCTTATGCATAAGTTTTACACGTTTATATTTTATAGGTATAGTCCAATCAGTTTTTATGTTTTATATGATACTTAGCTTATTAAGAGTAGACTTCTCCAAGAAGTCTACTCGCGAAGTCTACTAAGTAGACTTCATCTGACTTTCAGAGAAGTCTACTTATTCAATTTTGATTTCTAATGTTGTTTGGATTTTGTTTTTTTTATACGTAAAATGGTTCACATACCCGTTGTTTATGGAGAATGAGTGAGGAGTGAATCAGTGTGGCAGTTCGAGGTGGATAATAGCAAAGGAGGGCAAATGTTGTTCTAAGAAATGGTTGCACACATGGTGAGCTTCTTGGTGAATGTTGGCAAAGGAGGGCGAATAGCAAAGGAGGACGAATGTTGTCACCTTTAAGTTATGTAAAATTAATGTCTTTAAGAAGTCTACTCGAGACAGGAGAAGTCTACTCAAGACAAGAGAAGTCTACTCGGTTGATAAGTTATGTGTTATAAATGGGAGAAATGTCCCTCTGAATAACCTTTAAGTTATGTAAAATTAATGTCTTTAAGAAGTCTACTCGAGACAGGAGAAGTCTACTTCAGAAGTCTACTCGAGACAAGAGAAGTTTACTCGGTTAA